GATCATTATGATGGGGAAATTATTACTAATAATAATAATAATAATAATGATGAAATTCCGTCGTCGATCATATTCAACGATAATCGTATATTAATGATTTTCATCCGGTACATATACTGGATGAAAGTGTTTTTGAATTTCATTTTTTTTCTTTTCATCCACTATCTTTATGAATAAATTTGTTCAATCAATTTGGATTGAATTTTTTTTTTTGCATTCTGATTATTCTGATCATCATCATCATCATTATTATTGGGTTGTAAATGAATTTTTTTTTTGTTTGTTTGTTCGCCCCCATCACTTTCTATTCTTAGAATCTTGTAGATGTGAATGTGGATGTGGACGATAATGACATTAACATTTTTTTTTCTTTCTTTCTCTCTCTCTCCACTTCAATCTTAATGAAGTATAAAGAATAGAATCTATAATCGCTTGTTGTTAAGATTGGTTTATATTTTACTTTATTTCGCTGGTGTGTGTTGCATGAATGAACATTGAAATAAATCATTTTGAATTAAACATCATCGTCATATGATGATGATGATNCTTTAAAAATGAAAATTTTCAACAGAAAAATTCTCATAATTTCTTTTTTCCAAAACATTGAAATTCGTTGAATAATAATGATTGTGTGTGGGAAAAAAAATTTCATTTTGATTTTTAATTTTTCAATGTTGTTTTCCTTCTTCTTTCTTTCTTTCTTTCGTTCTGTATATCATCATCACGCTCAAAATCGGAAACATAATTGGATTTTTTTTGGTTTGTTGTTGGCCCACTTTATTAGAATAATTATATGATTATGATGATGATGATGGGGAAATTACTACTAATAATAATCATTATAATGATGAAATTCCGTCGTCGATCATATTCCACGATAATCGTATATTAATGATTTTCATCCGGTACATAGTCGTATATACTGGATGAAAGTGTTTTTGAATTTTCCCCACCATCTTTATGAATAAATTTGTTCAAATCAATTTGGATTGAATTATTTTTTTCGCATTCTGATTATTATTGGGTTGTAAATGAATTTTTTTGTTCGCCCCCACCACTTTCTATTCTTAGAATCTTGTAGATGTGAATGTGGATGATGTGGACGATAATGACATTTACATTTTTTTCTTTCTCTCCACTTCAATCTTAATGAAGAATAAAGAATAGAATCTATAATCGCTTGTTGTTAAGATTGGTTTATATTTTACTTTATTTCGCTGGTGTGTGTTGCATGAATGAACATTGAAATAAATCATTTTGAATTAAACATCATCGTCATATGATGATGATGATTATAATGAAATAAGAGGATGAAAATGGAGAAAGAAAATCTAAATTTCATCATCATCTTCACTGAAAACACACTCACACACTGAGAAATTCTTATGATTAATTTCTTTTCTTGAAGCCGATCACAGAAAAAAAAAGAAATGATTTTTTTTCCTTTTTTTTTCTTTGATTGCGTGATTCAAATTCTTTATTTTGTGTGTGTGTGTGTGTGTGTGTGTGTGCCTACATAATTTTTTTCCAGAAACTTGTTTTTCTTCGGCTCATCATCATCATCAATGAGCATCATATTTCTTTTCAAATTTGCTTGTTTGCTTGTAATTTCACATTTGTAATTCTGATCTGGTATTTTTTTTTTGTTGTTGATCCAATTCATTAATGATAATCAGAATGAATTCTGGATTCTTTCAAAGTTGGTTGTTTGTTGTTGTTGTTCACTTGATTGCAGCAGCTTTATGTTCCAAAAAAAAACAAAAATGACCGAATCATGTTTGGTTCTTTTTTTTCTGGTTGCTTGTCAATTTTTTGCATTTTTTTTTGTTTGCGAAACCGGTTGTCATTTTCAATTCACAAATGTTTTTGGATCTTTTGAACCGTCATATGTGAATTTTGGAAAATTCACATTTTTTTTGATAAAACTTATTCTAGTCAATCATAATTTGCATATTTTATCATTTATCCTGGAACTTTCAAAAACAAAGGCCGTGGTCCCACTTGTAAAAACTAAGGCCGTGGTCCCACTTGAACAAACTAAAAAAACTAGTTTGCCGGATCATGCTTGC